AGTGGGGAACTGGGTGGAATGGGGTGACGACCAATTTGGCGCCTGGTGACACTAAACACAAGGGGGAGACAGGTGGCAGTTCCAGGAGAGCGGGGGTGGTGCTGTGTGTGTGTTAACATAGACCCCCTAAAGTGTCCCATAAATTCATTAATTTGTCGCGCTTTTCTATATACACTCCCAGGCGGCGGTAAAATATTTGTCAGCTTTACGACGGCTTTAATTCTAGCGTCGACGCATTAGTTTTTAATGCCGCGAAATTAATACAAATAAATTCTGAGAATTGTGTAAATTAGGCGGGCAGGAGGCAGGGGCAAACGGGGCACTAAAAGCAGACGGACGGAGGAGGTGCACCCATCCGATCCTCATGAATGTCGTTATGGATGTTTGGGCATTTAAATTTAGCAACTAACACGACGAGACGACCACGATCAGCCCACTGAACGAGACGAGAGTGAATCAGCTCGAAATAGAAACCGAAATAAAGCAGCAACAGTGGCAGCAGAACGATATTTATAGGGATGCTCTTATCAGGGGGTATTACTATTACAGTTACTTGAAAGGTTGCTCTTAAATATATTTATATCTGATCATGTATTCCGAAAATAAAACTTGGGAATTAGAAGCACATGTTAAAGTTTATATATGAATGAAATTTTGGGAATTTTAGGCACTCTTTAAAGTTTACTGTCAATATGGCAAAAAAGAAAACCTTCTTCAGGGCAACATTTTGGAAATATTAACACACGTTAAAGTTTTGTTTTTTGCCGAAATAAAATTACGGAATTACAATTATAAAATTACATTTTAAAATTGGAATATTTCACCTAAAAAAACTCTTTCAAACTAAAAGAACATGGAAATTATAAGCACAAACTTTTATATGTTCTTATTTAAAAAAAATGATAATGACCCAATAAAGTCCGTAAATAGCCAAGCAGAGCATTCAAACATTCTCACCTCTTGAAGAGCAACAATATATACCGCGTTTTATATATACAAAATCGTACGATATCGCAGACAGATGCGATCTGCTGCCCACCTCCCCCCCCATTTTGGCCAATCTATTTTCGGGGACCGCGCGACAAAAGCCAAAAGCGAAGCTATTTGCACATGTTTGGACCATCGGCCGTCTGATGTGGGTCTGATAGAAAGAGGCAAACGGGGGCTAGATCGAGTGGGAACCCTATTTAGTCTGCCCCAGAGAGTGTCAATCAGTCAATCAGTCATTCAGTCAGTCAATCAGCGGCCCACACATACCCGTTTCCCTCGGCCAGTTTGTCACTTGGCTGTCCCATTAGTAGCCACACTTTGGGTCAGCGGCCCATAACGGAGTCTTATGTTTCTCTCGAAGGGGGGCTCCTCCAGTTTGCATTTTTTTGTAGGAGGCATCCTCTGTGGGCGTCCGTCCAGCTGGCTAATCCCGCCTTTTTCGGCCTAAGCAGCTTCTTTTTGCGCGCCTGCAAATTTATGCAAATTGCTGATTGAATTCAAAATTTCCAACTCGAAATTCTCGCCTCGACAAATACGGCAACACGCCTTTTGCCTACGAAATTAATTCGCTTTTCGGCCAAAGATAGCAACGCACAGCAACAGTGACAGCGGAGACGCCATGAATCAAAAATTGTATAAATCGTATCAAGATCTTGGCAAGAGTCAAGGTCTTTGCGGCGTGGCCACGGCCCACATCTTTGGATGGGAGCAGCAGCAGCAGCAGCAGCATAGGTAGTCCAGTCCGCTGGCATAATTAACATGCGCCAGAGATGCCAACGAGTTGTCAGTCGGGGCCAAGAGCGAAGAATACGCGAGTAAATCTCCAATCCCAGCAAACAAAGGCCACAAAAAAAAAGTTGGAAGGCAACTCAAAATTCCCCGTCTGCTGGTGGGTGTCTCTTATATGCAATAATCCACTTTTGCTGGGTTTCTCGACCCCCAGAAAAGGATTTTTAGATTTATTTTCTTGAGCTTGTGAGTTCTTGTGTGAAAAACAAGGAACTAATTCTGTAACACTTTAACCTAATTAATCTTAAATATAAGATAATAATACTCCATCCACAATATAAGTTTTTGCTATTCCCACAAAACCTAGCTGAATTCTACGAAATAATCCTACTAACTTATCCCACAACCAAATGGGATTCTTTCCCATGCTAACTAGAACCATCTCTTTATTACCGGCTGGCTTTCCCCTTCTAGGCCAGCTTAAAAACACAATTTAGTAGAAATAGCAACCAAAAAAAAAAACTCTCTCTAATTGCTAACCTTTTTGGCAGACAAACTTTCCTCATAACTGAGTGCGGTGGTCGTGTCCAGTCTTTTTGGCCATTTCATTTGGCCGCAACGATTGCAGAAACCGCTCACTTTCAGTTAACAAATCTCCGTCGCCGCGAAGCCGCTGCCCTGACCTCAATGCAGGCCACACACGCTCCGCACGTAGCAAGGGATGGGAAAAAAATAGTAGTAGTAGTAGTAGAAGCAGTAGAGAACGAACTTCTGCGCTTTTCATTAATAAAGTGCCGCTGTCCGTCTGTGCCAGTAACACATATATTACATAGTAAAAGAGCCGGCCAGCGGCGGGCCAGTAATCAAGTGAGTTGTATGCCAACACAGAGAGAAATTTCCACTGATTGCTGTCATGAAAGTTCTGCATACAATCGGGGAGAAAGAAGGGACAAACGGACAGACCAAGGGATGCACTAACAGGCAGGCCAACGAACAGATCAACGGATGAACTTAACGGACAGAGCAACGTACGAACTAACAGACAGACCAATTGACTTACGATTAATAGACAAACTAAGGAACACACCAAAGGACAAACCAACAGATGAACTTACAGGCACATCAGAAGAGATCAGATCAGAGGAAAGGACGCATAGAAAAATGGACCAACGAACGGACAGAATAAAGGAAAGGACGATCCAAGGACATGACTATATCAATCATGTATGCTTTTAAAATATATTTTTTAAGTGAGGCAAGATGAAACTATTTTTCGTTCTGTGTACGCCCGAGAGAGTTACGAGAACATTTGCGCGAAGTAACCAGTTACGTTTTATGACCCTGCTCCGTCCATAGATGGCAGCGCGGGCGGCTAATGAAAAGAAATGAAGTCCAAAGAAGACCAGTTGCAGTGACCAGACACATGGACAGACAGTGGAGGAAGTTCTCAAAACGTGAAGAGATTGAGCAACGGCTGATGATGATTTTCCCCGCACTTTATGGGCCGCCGAATTTTAGGGGAAACGCTGCAGCAGCAATAACTCCGCGATGGCTGTCACTTTTGTCGCTTCATTGCGGACACCATTCAAACGAAATTTCCCTCATCGCGCGACAAATTTCGGACACCCAAGTAGTAGTGGAGGAAGCCGGCTCTAAACGGCTATTACCGGTGAGTTTGTTGAGGTGAGAGCCACCACACCGATGACATCGTTAGAGGGGCAAAAGAACCGAAATAACGTTATTTTACGACTGCTACACACGGTAGGAAGCCCCGCAGATTATGTGGAAATAAAACAAGACACCGCGGGACACATACAAATAAATACGACACACGCAGAACTGGCGACAGTTTATTAATTATGATGGAGCTGCTGCCTGCCAGGAAAATCCAATGCCCTAATCCTCTCCAGCAACGAATGATGGCGCCACAAGGCCTAAGCTTCCGAAATCCCTGTGCAGGAAACTCTGAAAGTGTTGGCCCCACAACGAAGACGTGCCCACAAATCAGAAATTGATTTATAGTAAATTCGGCTAAAGGGAAAATATAAATGTTTAAGACACTACAAAAAATATTTGTTAAAATTATAAGAATTTTGAATATATTTTGATTGTCAAAGGTAAAGAGAAAGTGGAAGGTAGAACTTTAGAATTTTTTTCAGGTACATCTGATGAAAACTTATTAATCGTTCAAGAGATGCACAAGATACATTTCCGGCCTTGGGCTTCAACTTTAAAAAGCTCTACCGCACCCATTTATATCACCCCTAGACCCATCCCTGATAAGCAGCGACAATTGTTGTGGCTGTGGGAACTCGGGGGCCTCAGCCTCAGAGAACATCCCACGAGGACAGCTAAAAATAACAGAGCAAAGCCACGGCACGGCCAATAAACCTCAAATTATATGTGCTATATGTGCCGTTCTGCGTGCGGGGAGAGAATAAAATAGAATAGAGGCGACACATTAAAACAAATTGAAATTACCAAATGCATCTATGAAATTTATCGCACGACATCCAGACTACTGACGGCGAAAAAAACAAAAAATACAATGAACCGAGACAAGCGCAACGAGACGGAGTGGCGAGGATTTAATTTATGGACATCAATCTCAATACCGCAGTATCCAACAAGTCCCTCTGTCCCTGCCCCTGCCCCTGATCTCGTCCGATCCGTCCCGAAATTTGTGTGTTTGTTGTTTCGGGTTGGAAATTTATTTTTAATATTTTTTTCGTTGCGATTTTTCGTCTGCATTCGCCGCCACTGCCGCCTGTTGCCATTGTGGGCGGCGGCCAAGCCTGATTCGAAAACACAATAAATTAAGAATATTTATTTGTTTGCGGTAATTGTGCGAATAATTGATGATTATGCGCCCCATTCCCAGCCACTGGAGGCCCAATGCAGCTGCCAGTTTCGGTTGTTGAATGGTTTTTAATTAATTCCCAAAAAGGTTATATGAAGTTGACCCCACATTACAGTAAATCTGGAAAGCTGCGTGAGTCCTCAGCGAGGAGGCTACTGAATGGCTGATGAATAACACAGGAGCGATGCCCTCGATTCAGTTTTTGGAAAAGCATTTAGGAAACTTTGACAAGTAGGACCAAGTCCCATATTGTCTAGTGGTTAGGATATCCGGCTCTCACCCGGAAGGCCCGGGTTCGATTCCCGGTATGGGAAACTTTTTTATAGAAAATTCTTTCTTTTCAATTTTATATATTATTTTCCATGACTTTTCTGTCTGGTAGTTCTAATAATTCCAAAAATATTCGAGTTGTAACGTCATAATGGTAGACTATTTTAAATCAGATGAGAAGCCATCTTCGCTGCAGACTGGAAGGGGAGTAAACAACTCCTATAGGAAGTGTTTAAGATGTCCAAAATATAGAAAAAACCATCAAAAAGAGCACTCGGCAAAGTCAAGGGAATCACAGTGCCGAAATCCCAGTCCCGATGGAGATGCTCCTATTTATCCGAACGATCCTGATCCCGACCCGGAATGGAATCCCCCGGAATATAACCCAACCCCACCCGGCGGGTATAAAGACCAGATTCTACTATACCTGATCGCGGGATATATATTAGGAATCTTTCTGGTACTCATCTGGTATTATTGGAATCCCCAAAGAGCCCGCAGTGATCTTAATGGAACATGGTTTTTTATTATTCTGTTCTTTCTTTTACTGCTTATATTGAGCCAACGGCGACCAGCAAGGTGGGTAGTTATGGGATGATCTCTCAGAAAAACAGACTAATCCCACGTTGCAGATGCATTGCAGTTTTATGCTTTTCAACTTTAGCTCACTACCAATCTAGAGCTCTTATTATAGCCCTGGCTTTCTTGATTGCTTTTTGGGGTCCTGTGATGAACATCATCCGTAATATAGACATTATGGCCAACAGTCTAAACTGTCAGCAAAATCTACTTATATATGCTCTTTGGTCTGTAAACAGCATGATTAGTGATCCTTTGCAGTTAATGGAGGAGTTATTCAAAAGGACTGTGGATGAAGTGCTCGGAATGACGACAAAATTGGAGAAGTTTTTTGTGAAGCTAGAAAATCCAATTGCAGATATCTGTGACTATCTATGATCTACCTCTTTTATATATATTACTAAGCACACTTTTTTCGCGTGAAGATGCCACCTATGGGTTATGCGCCAGCTGGTTGACCTTACAGAACGAACAATTTGGCAAAAGGATGGGTGCGCCGTACACTCGCTGTCTGAGAGCGGGGAACTTGAGTATTTTTCAGTACCAAACCGAAATCGGGGACCAAACAAGTGAGAGTTGTAACCAAGAACTATTTTCTTGGTTCTGTGAGGGTCTTAAGGGTGTAAATAGCTTCTTTTACGATAATCTGCTATTGCCCCAAATGGTCATTGAGGATATTTTTCAACGTAGGTACAAGTGAAACTCTTGAAACTCACAAAGCCTTCAGTTTCTTTCAGGTTTGCAAATATGCTTTCTCAAGATCCGCTTGATGTTCTTGGCTACCATTAGTTTTAATCACAGCGGAAAGCCATACCCAAGGATTTTATTAACTGACAGAGATCTCTTGTGCCGTCAGGACACGACCACAAACAAGTTAAGCTATATATACTTTTGGCTTTACTTGATGGTTTTGATTCTGCTGTTGACTGTGATCATTCGATCGATAGACTTTCGATTTCGTTACCTTATGTCTGAGCACTTTGAGAATGTCTATATAACAAAGGAATTTGAGGTATACGAAGAACAACAATCGCAGATAATGGGGGTTCAGTTGTTGCCCCTTAACAATTGTGAAGATAATAAATATGTAAAGGTAAAATATAATAATAATAATATATTTTTCATTAAATGCATGTTAGTTGTTCAGATAGCATCCCTTAGGCTTCTGCCAGGCGAGCGTAGAGCAATGTATCGCTCGGGAGCTTTTTTGTTTATCACCGGAATACAGCTTTACTGCCTTTGTCTGGTGGACTACAGTCTTTACAGCATGTTGGCCTTATTGCGGCAACATGGTAACATGACGGAAGCTGATCAACGTAAGAGTTAAATAGGGTCTCGTCTATGTATGCTAATTAGTTTTTTAAGCTTCTTCCTACAGTAAAATGGTAATCAAAGGTGGCGGTCAAATTGGTTCTTTTTTACGGGATTTAGTTCACGCCTTTGAACCCAAGGTACTGCAGATGAACTCCTACAACTGTCTACCAGTCCCGGAAAATCCAAAGTACTGGCTATATTTCTGGATCTTAGTTCTGTATGTGCTGGCCTGGATTATGGTCTTTTGGGAGCCTTATGGTCTCCGTCAGCGACATCGTATAATGGCCTACTTTCATCCAGAGGTATCCTGTCGCAGAGTTCAGTATCTGCACTATAGCATACTAAAAGGGAGGAGAAGTAAGTTAAGTACTATTTGTTAATCATTAATAAAGTTCTTTTTCTAGAATCTGTACTCCAACTTAGCTCTCAAAGAGCTCGTTTTTTAAAGTGCTATCGGTATGACAATAAATTAGTATCCTGCATTTCCTGTCTTAGTTCGCTAACTAGCTGGTAAGATTCCCTATCCAGCTCAAGTATTTATTATTATATTATATTTGTATAGTTTTTATTTATATATATATTATAATATTATATTTTTAGGTTTTTTAGTGGCTGCCGTGGCGTCTGTATAGGCAGATCCTGCACTATTTGCAGAAAACCCCTTACAAAGTAGGGTTCAATTCAAAAATAATAAATATTCTTAAATGTATTTATTCTCTCCAGATCGGACCATGTTTTCTGCGACTTGCCCGAGTGCTCAGGAGTCTACTGTTATACGTGCTTTATCGAATGCAATAATAATTGTGTTTTGTGTAGTTCCCCATCGGAATGTGATTTTTCTGAGATTGGGTAAGTTCATAAAAAGAAAACAGAGAGCGCTAATTTTTTCGAATATCCATCGCAGAGACTCCTCGGATTATTGGGACTATAGTTACTGCTGTCCTGAAAACGTACACAGTGAATAACTTGTAGAGGAAACATATAAAAGCGGCCAAGATTTTAATTAAAAATCAGGACTTGTTGCTGATATGGAACAATAATACTGGGGAACAGTGTTATCAAGTCCCATATTGTCTAGTGGTTAGGATATCCGGCTCTCACCCGGAAGGCCCGGGTTCGATTCCCGGTATGGGAAACTTTTTTTTTTATTTTTTTGTTCGGAATATTTAATAGATTATTTTTTCACCTTAGTTTAGTTAATCTTTATAGATAACTAATACCATTTTGCAAAATTTATTTAAAATAAAAACCCATAAAGAATAATATGCCGACATATACGTTTATACAACAATTTAAATAGAATTTAAAATTCTATTTTGCGTTGATTATGCCAGTGTTCTTATCAAAGTCACGAAAAACCTTAAAGTAGAACACCTGTATTTCCGTACACTATTTCGACACCTGGGATTTTATATCCCATATTGTCTAGTGGTTAGGATATCCGGCTCTCACCCGGAAGGCCCGGGTTCAATTCCCGGTATGGGAAACTAGTAAAAGTTTCTTTTTCCTTTTGATTTTCATGTTCAATTTTTATGTCAAACATTATTGTAGCTATAAATAGCCTTAAATGGTCAATCGTTATTTCCCATTAACTTTGTTTTTTGGCAACAAACTTTTCAATAACAAGTTTCATAGAAGTAAAAGCCCCTTGTATTTATTTGCTTTTCCACAAATAATCGAATTCCAATGACCGACGACCCAGAGTTTTCTTTTCATTTGCTGAGGTATAAATTGTGTTTTCTTATTATTATTCTCCATACTAAATTCCCTCAAATCCCCATTTTTACTCTGCGCCCTGCCTGGGTAATTTTCTATCCCATTACCTAATTTCCTCGCTCTCAGTGGGCAGTCTGTGTGCGCGTCCCTTCTTCCTTTAATCCAAATAACTTTCAGCATAATTTTCTAATTCAATCGGTGGTCCTTTTTTTTGGCAAAACAAACCCAAAGTTCCGTGTTTTTGTGGGGTCGAGGGAGATGGGATAACCTGCGGGTCTGAGTTACGAGACAGTTTCAAAAACGGTTCTAGTTTAAGCGAAACGGACAGATTTTACGAGCCGCCTGCCAACTGAAAGTAAACTACAAATGTTTACACAACTCGAGGGCTGCACCTACACACACACAAGAGCACACGCACACCCAAGGACTCACTCAGCCTGGTAAAGTTGTAGCAAAAATTGAAAAACTTTTGCCATCGTCTTGTTTTTTTATGATGATGACGACGACGACGACGACTGCCGCTCGATGAGAACGCCTATTTTTGGAAGAGGGGCGCGTCTTTTCTTTTCTACACGTCTGCTGGCGTTTTCAAGCAACTAAAATTAGGGAATTTCTTAAATTAAAAAAAAAAAGAAAAAGGATATACTAGTGTTCGAATGTTTTTATATGTATTGCCTGATAAAAGTCTGGATAATTTATATTCATAATGGATTTTCCTGTTTTTTTGGAGTAATTTTTACGCGGATCTGTGTTTTTCTCGGCAAGTAAAAGAGTTTAAGCTCGACTCTCAAGTGGAAGTTTGAAACTGTCAAGCTACTTAAGCTCGAGATACAAATGTATCTTTGCAGTACAGAGCACTGTCAGCCACTGCCAAGGCCTGCATGTGAGATGGAATTCAAGTCCTGGTGTTGGTCCTGCAGGATTTGCATTCGCTCCCCTGGCTATCTGTCTTCTTGTCTAATTGTGTGGAAAATTGTAAGAAAATAATTCGCTAAATGCAAATGCCAGTCCCCCCCATAAATATATATAAATATATATACGCGATTGAGTAGTATTTTCTGCCTCGATTGCTGGTTTAGATTAGGGATTTCCCCCTTTCAATTCGCATCCCTTTTGCGGTCGCTTTTGAGAGCTTAATCAGGCGCCTCGCATCGCATTACATGCGGTTGGCTTTCCCAGCTTTTCCTGCGGTTTGGCAATTTTGTTAAAGATACAAAGCGCCGATACGGAACAAAGAGATGATGTGCGTGTGTGTGCGAGCTGCGAGGTGAGAACAAAGCGTTTTCCAACCACAAAACCAGCGGCAAAGCGAGAATGGGTTTGGCATTTGCATTTGCATAGAGAAGGAGCGGTGGAACGGTGGTGCAGGATGGCGGAAATAAGAAAAATGGCAACGAAAATATAAGAGAGGAGTGGCGAAAATTCATTTTTCTGGATAAGAGGAATCTGCTGATTAGGTACGTCTTTTCATCAGTTTGGAGTCTCTGATAGAATGGTTATTAAAATGAAAAGTTGACATTTGATCATTTTTTGTATACATTATTCAGGAAATATTGATAAAGGTTTTGCTTTGTTATCAAGAAAAACTTTAAACAAAGATTCAAATAAAATCGGAGCATTCACAGATCCTCGTTTTCTGTCTTATCCACCTTTTTATCGATATCTCTTAAATTATATTACATTTAATATCCAGTGACATTTTATCTCAAATATTTCGTTTTTCTACCAAGTTCTAATAATACCTTAATTATATATAATGTAAAATTAATGGATATATATTAAAATCTTAGTAAAAATCTGAATTATCAGGTCTCCTAACCCACTGTGTTATCTTCCTGGCAGTTTACCTTCAACAAAAGAGAGATCCCGAAAAGGAAAACCACAGTACAACAAACCCTGAAACGCCGGCGAATCTTTTCATTCCGCGTTCCGCAAATGCCAACAAGAAACGCCGCAGGACGAGGGTCGGGTCGGTGGAGGTCCTAATTGCAGCTCCACGGACAGCGAGACTACGCCCACTCAATGAGCAAACACTTTTCAAATGGCAGGAAGGTGAGGCGAGTCCGTGATACTATTCCTAATTACAACTTTAAAGGCGACCAGAACACACACACGGAGTCAAATTAATGTGGTCAACACGGGGCTCCTGTCCTCCCGAGGCTTTAAAGGGGGCGGCGGGCCATTTTTGATCGGCGAATCGCGTGTCACTGCCATATCCGCCTGCCAACGGCGGCATTTCCACTTCTAATAGGTTCAAGTGCAATTTAATTGAGCGAAATGCATAAAGAAGCACAAACCCCAACGCGAATTAAATGCGACATTTTTATTTGCGGTTTTCAGGCCGTTCCAATTAATATGGCGACGCCGTGTCACAGCAAAATGGTTTTAATTACCATTAGAAAAGCAGGGAATTTAAAATAGGAAAGGCTTAAAGTACTGGGAAAGCAGAAAGTCGGCTGCATTTATTTAATAAAACTGGGTAGAGGAGCTGAATTTGTAATATATTAAAAGCTATAAAAAGTCTGCCGAAATCCTGCAACCCGGAATTAACCCCAGAAAAACCTAGAGGAACCCAAGAAGAAAATCCACAAATCGAAACCCCACCGATCAAAGGCAATTTGCGAACATTGGTAATTATAATTGGGGGACTCTGGAAACCTAAGAATGGGTATCGTTCAAGGCGCATCACAAGAAGGTGGTGACTCGCTGAGGGCACTGATATTTGGTCCACCAGTCGGCAAAGTTCATCAACGCGGTGGTCTCAATGCGGCGCTCCTCCTTTGGCTGATTGAGGAAAGAGCAAAGCTGGCAATAGGGCACGGAGTTTCGGCGCAGCTTGTAGAGCGAGTGCCACCAGAAGTAGCGCTTGTACTCCTCTGGAGTTTTTACCAGGTACTTCAGATGTTCCGCCAGATCCTTGGCCTTCGGAAAGTCGCGGCTGCTGATGTATGAGTGCGGCGGCACTAGGTTGGTCAGGTTCCCGCCTCCAATCAGTACAGGAACAACAAACTTGTACATGGCCTCGTATATCTGGTTTGGCACGTAGTCTGGACAGGCGGTGGCATCAAAGATCAGCAAGAAATGGTAATGATTGCAGCTGTGGAAGGAGAGATTCGGAGAGATCCAAGGACATACTAGGGATAGGTAGTCTCTTCACTTACTGGTCGTAACCCAGACAGCTCTTGTAGGCATTGAGGGTGACATAATTGCGCATCTCCTGCAAATACAGGCTCATAGGCAGGCTCGCATCATTCACCTCGTAGAGTATGTACAGGACCAGGCGATCCTTTGTCTTTGTCTGGTTCTCCAGCTGCTGCAACTCATAGCCCGGCATATCGTCGTCAAAGTGCTCACTGGGGGCACGGAACGATCTGACCCTCTTGGCCTGGTTGAGGAGCGTGAAGTGGTACTCCGACCAGACCATCTGCGAGTCCAGGCGATAGGTCATGGTCAGGTTGAAGAGCGGCCCTTCGCCGGCGTGTGGTAGAGGTGGAGCCTTGGCCAGGCGCAAGGGATTCCTGGCAGCGAATACCGTAAGGAAGTCACTGGAGCGGTTGATGTGGGGCAAGTATTTCAAGGAATAGGGTCTATCTGCTTGAAAGACGAAGGCATCGACGGCCTTTTCGTAGTTCTTCCTGCGACTGGTGACCACGCAGCCACACTCCATGTGCGCCGATCCTTTGGGCATCCTGCTCGGGTCCTCGTTCCACAACATGATCACTTTCACGCGGGACTCCTGCGGTACTTTCTGGCCGCGACGGTATAAAGGAATCGTGCCGAAAAGGGCGCAGACCACGAGCACAGCCAGGAGCATCTTCACTGTGTTCATGTAAGTGATATAGGTCTGAGAACGGGGATTCACCCGGGGCTCCTCGTGCTCTGATTCACTCTCGGATAGGCTGTCCTCCTTGGGTGGGGGTATCTCCTCCTTTGAGGTATCACTGATCATGGGTTGAGATTCCTCGTCATCTTCTTGTGTGTCGGTTTGCTTTTGTTGCTCTGGATTGGTGGTTGTCCTGCGTAAGCTAAGGACCTTTGCCACCGTTGACATTTCTTTTATTTTATCTGTCGGCATTTTTTCGTAGGGAGATCTCTATAGAGAATCGTGTGTGAGCGTCTGGTATGTTTAGGGTTATGATGTAGGAGCAACCACAAATATTGTTAGGTCAAGTTCTGTGCCAACTCGATCTAATAACGATCTACTAATATTTTCTTAATTTAAAAGTATTTCCAAAACATTATTTCCTACAAATATCAAAGCAATTGAAGGGTTCACAGTCACAACAAAAGAAAGTGAAGCTCAGGTATCAGGTAACTGACTTCGCAGGTCGTAAACAAGTTCCTATTCCCGATGGCTACACACGAGATAAGCAAAGGCAGTGGCGCTAACAGGATCATAAATCCAGCGATATAAATCTGAGACGGAGGAGTGAGATGAAGCGATATATAGGATATAATGTAAGGATTTCGGTAGGCGAGGCGATAAACCCTCGCACACGTCGAAGATTTTGAATTACTTTCGTTTTTATCGCCGGTTTTCATAATTTACACGCGACCTGCCTAGAAAATCAGGTGGAGAGGTGCTAACCAAGGAAGACAAAACGCTGACGACTCACTTCATCATAAATTCACCTGTCGTTGTCTCGGCCAGAGTCCATCGAGCAGCAGAGCCGGACCTGCGCTTCCGTTGGGAAAAAAAAATAGAATAAGGCAAGGCGAGGGCGTCGTCCGAGAAATTTATGAATTTCGTTGGCGTGGCGAGTGCGCGAAAATTTCGTGGAATTTCAAAGGTTCAGGACGAGGTTGTCGCGTCATTCGAATTGAAATTTCATTAGTTTTACGAGCACCCCAGACTTCCCGGAAAATCTACCAAGGAAAACCAGGAGCATCAGCTCTTCGTCCTCATCGTCGTCGTCGTCGAGTCAACGCAATGAATTATGAAAAGCGTTTTACATTCGCTCGCTCATATTTTATTGCTGCTTGTTAATGTTTTCATTGCTCGTCCTTCTCTTTTTCCCTTTTTCCCGGCGCTCTTCTTATTTGGCGAACGTATGAATTATGGATTTTCCCCTTATGGCGGCGTTTGCCCAAAGAATACAAGAGAGAAATTTGTTTTCATTGTTGAAATATATTCTTTGCAAATTTATTGAATAATTCAAGGCCATTACGGAACGGGGGTATATGATGCTTTTTACTATAAAATGGATGGGTTTCGGAAATGCAAAAACCGAATAAAAGTTTTCTATGTATTTTTATTTTAACAATTTCTAGCTAAAGTTTAGGTGAATTTCAATGGTATACTTTTAGAAGACACTGAAATGTCAAAATTTGAATAAGACAGTTAAAATCGATCGAAACTTTGATTTTTTCTCAATTTTTAAAATATATATTTCTGTTTTTTTATTTTAAAATCCAAATATACTATGTTAAAAGTGACTTTAAGAGTCAGACTTTAACAGCATATGCTAAATTTTAGGGAGAGCCCCATAAAACGTGCCCCCTCGAAAGTCTTCCATCCAATCTTCCGCCCGAGGGCGTCGCCATATTGAACTGGAGCTGACCTCTTTGGACAGCCATAAAAATAGGAGGCGACTCCTAGCCATAAAGCAGCATCAGGAGCGGAGATAGAGGCAAGTGGCAGCTGACATTAGTGCGCTGTTCGAGGAGATTTGTTATATTCTTAACCATATTCCGGATATTTATGACCCTGCTAGTGGATCGGGATCCCATGGCACCACTGTTACCACTACTGGCCGCTCAAATGGAGCGTGTCCCGTGCTCCAGTTTGGCTGCTGCTGCTGCTGCTGCTGAATATGCGTGAAAAATGTTGCGAAAAATTTTAATGCGCTCGAAAGAGAGCTGCGGGCGCCAAATGGGAATGGAAATGAATGGTGACATTGGGTGGCGGGAGCCGGGAAAATGGGTAAGAATGGAAAGAAAGATGACAAATGATTATGGGGCATAATAAATTTCCAGCGCTGATTGAGCGAAATGCGAAGTGCAGCAGCGAGAATGCAAAAATAGTTGGATTCAGTGCGGGGAGTAAGTCATCCCATCCATTAATGAAGCTAATTTGCTGCACAAATCCTGGCCAAGCTCAAGCTCCAGCTCCTTCAAATCCCATTTTGCGAAAGCAAACAGAGAAAGCAAAAAGGAAAAAGGAGAAAAGTTGATCCCGGCTGCTTATGGCTGACACGAGTGTCATCCACTCCTATCATATCTCAATCCCCTTTTCCTTTTTTCCCCAGCAAATAACTGAGAAATTGCAGTGGCAGCAAGTTTATTGTCTCCGCTCTGGGTCCTTGGCACACATGCAGGCATCCAAAAGGAGTCCCCAGCTCAGCTCAAGGAGTTTGAATTTATTTTGTTCGAGTGCCTTTCCCTGCAATTGCAAGTGAAAAGTCCGTACCGAGTGCAGGTCGCTTTTTCAGCTTTCATTTTGTCCTGATTGGGCAGCGGGCACAGTGGCCGGCGAAAGTTTGCTGCCATCTGTATTGGCCTCCCCCAGGACGATGATGTCCTTTGTCTATTTGCTTGTCTTGGGGGCGGCAATAAGCTCAGCTGGACATGCGGATTATGCCGGAGTATTGAAGGGGACAGGACAGACAGGACAGGGCAGGGCAGGACGACTTTGGGGAGGTGAAAAATTACTTTTCAGCTTTATGTTGATGATTGGGGTTTTGGTTTTCGTTTCGGTTTCGCTTTCGAGAGTTCTTGAAAAGTTTTGACATTTAAAATATTGACAAATATGGGGTTTTATTAGAGCCACTCTTGAAACTAGGCTACCAACTTGTAATTTATTTTGTTGGTTTCTTTTGCAATTAATTACTCACCTAGATTAGTAATAAATATTGAAAAGAGACTTTTAGATTAGATCTTAGCAGAGTTACTCCTTCCACTTTCGCTCTCAAGACTATCAACTAAACAATAATACACTCAAAGGGGTATTCTAATTTGAATATTTAAATATAATCATAATATAATAAATATAATATAATAAATATAATAAAATAATTAATATAATATAAAATCTTTCAGGTAAATTTCTTCTTTTGAAACTCTCTGAAATATGCCCGGACATATAAAAGACCCACTTGACAATGGACAATGACTGTAAAATTGTAGCTGTAAAATGGTAAATGGTTAGTATTACCCAATAACGCATAAAAATTGGAGACAATGACGCAGACAGCGAACGTGGCGGCGGCACCCACAACTGAAACTGAAACAAGTGCTATATCTATAACGCAGACACGGATGAGACACAAATTTCTGTGTCTTTCTCTGAAGGCGAGGTGAGAAGTCGGGGGCTTGCAGCGGAGAGTCAACAATAATAAAATATTTAGGGAAGTCAGAGGGTGGGTGGTGTGTGGAAAAAGCCCCGAAGAAAATGAAGTCATCTTGTGCAAATATGCCAACAAAGTCAAGTGTTAATTTGCGTGGGAAAACAATTTTGTAGTTTAGTTTTTGTGGCATTCGGTTTCTTGGCCCCAAAAATGAGGCGGCTAAAAGTTCTTTTGATAATGAACATAGGTCCCCCCCCCCCTTGTTAACCAGAATTCCTTGAAAGCAAAAGTGTGTAATTGAGGGAGGGAGACAGGGAAGGTCTCCTCCAGCTGGAAGCGTGTGAAAGGTCAAAGTTTTGTCTCAACAACGTTTGCGATTAAAGGCTAATTTTGTGGAGCCAAATTAGAGAAAATCCCCGACCATTAAAAGCCGACTCTGGCTCTCCATTGCAAAACCAAAGCCAAGACCAAGTCTCTCCCCAACAAAAGTTGACACCACAAAACATTAACTTTCAAGTACATCAAACATTTTGTTGGCTGTTATCTCAGCGCAGGCCCCACACAAAGGTGCCACCAACTTTTGGCCAGCCAAAACTGGGCCATCAAGGGGTTAAGGGAAGTGGTGAGGAGAATTGAAACTTTGTGCCTTGTTTCGTTGTTGGTTGTTCACCACCATCATCACCATCATCATCATCAACATCGTCAACGTTGTCGTTGTCTTTTGTTGTTATGCGAATGACATTTCCATGTAGTACAAAAGTTTCTCGACTGCTTCTCGTTTTTATTATTATTTTGCCTGTCCCAACAAAAACAACTACAACAACTCACAGTCAGTGTGTGTGGGAAAATGTATTTATTTTTATGATTGTTTAATGTTTTATTTTCCACGTATTTTCTAGCCCCCCGAGAAACTTGCTTTGAAAGCAGTTTTGAGCCGAGTTTGAGTATATTTTTTTAAATGTTTTAATTAGTTCCGAATCGAACACATCATCGGTGGTTAGTTGCATCTCCATGGCTATCTCTCAATATTCCCATTCGAATTAATCAAATCATCATCATCGCCGAACGCCACTCTCGATCCCTTTGATCTCATCTGACCACGGACCAAAAACATATTTCAATTAACGGGCCATGACCGCAGCAAAGAGCCACGAAGCCAAGTCCAAGGCGAAGGTGATCCCGAAGGCCAGTGCGGCGTCTTGCTCTTGGCCTGGGTGTGTCCCAGTATGGGGGTCGGGTCTGTCTCTCTTTGTACCCCGTGTGTGTGTGTGGGGGGCATCAATCAAAGCCGCAGTTAATACACCGTCAAGATATGCTAGTAATAACGAGTACGAAAAAAAAAGCTTATAAAACTCTAAGCTCAAATTATTCAAGAACTCATTTCATTTATCTATCTACCCCATCTCTGTATAAACAAATTGATTTATTCTAATCTATCCTATAAATATTATTTCCAGTGTATTCTGTGGCCACAAGTGAGTGATGCACTCACCGAAAGGGCCAGACATATCGACTCGACTCGACTCCAAGTTACCCAGTGAGTGATAAATCAAAGCTACAGTCCAAGGAGAGGTTCCCTCGCCCTATGGGGGCGCCATTGGTGTGGTCCCTGTGCTCCAGCTTCAGCCCCAAGTGGAGGCAGGCTCCCTATGCCGCTGTGTTGGTTGATTTTCAATTTCATACGCACCGTTGGATGCATTTCCCTCACAGAGCTTGCCCAGAGCGGCAATTTATTGATTAACGCGTTTTGTTTTTCTCCTCTCACTCTCTCTTTGAGAGCCTCTTGCTGGGGCAATTTTCATCACATTTGGGCGAGCGCCGTAATTAAAATGTATTTTCTTCAATCATTTTCCGGGATTCCTTCAGCGGCAGAGCTGGGTGGTC